CTTACCTTCAACTTGTCTTGTGAGTATCACCTTGAAATACCCGAGCTGTGTCTAACACGTCTACCAGGCGTATGTGTTGACAAATGGATTCGTTTCAAGCTCAGAAGGGCATAAAAAAGAATGAAGATCAACGTATAAACACGTCTGAATCTTTTTTTTTTTCCGTTATGTTTTGGACGTGTTTTTTCGTCCGTGTCTGAAAGGAAACTTTCGGTAAAAACATATATATATACGTCTACATTGTGGTGGTTTATCTTCGCAGTTCACCTCTGAGAATGAACTTGGAGGATATCGAAAGTACTTGGATTAACAAGAACTACGGCTCCTTTCTTGAATTTCAACATAACATCAAGACGATAATAAGAGAAATAGAAAGGATTATTAAAAAAAAATAGACATATGCCTATATTATTTTTTGAAACATGCTTGAATGAGGATATGCTACCTATATATATATATATATATATATATATATATATATAAACTGCCCACATATGTTTATATATGTATGAGTCCCGACGGACGACCGAGTATGTATATGTGTCTGCATACATCGATGTTTGTGTTAGTACGATGACATAAGCGACGAAGTTTCCCCCACCACTTCCACAATAACACCAATACACGCAATCTATATAAACCCAAATTTTTTTAAAAATTAATCAGTTTGTCTGACGATCGCTAAAGCGTGAAACCCAGGGTCACAAACTCACATCTATCCAACCAAATATGTTAGCTCTATCTCTGATATTGAGCGCTTTCTAATAAGTACCGCGCATATAATATATAAATAATTATACATACTTATATTTATATACACTTTTCACACACACACACACACACACACACACACACACACACACACACACACACACACACAAACATATATATATATATATATATATATATATATATATATATGATTATTTATTTAAAATATGATTCCAACTCGCGACATATTTACCTAACCAGTTCTTTTCTATTTTCTATATATTTTCACACACACACACACATATATATATATATATATATATATATATATATATATATATATATATATATATATATATATGTGTGTTTTTTATTCTGACCTACTTTTATTCAATACCTAAGAGTAATTGTGAATAGCCTTTGTAAATAGCTATTTAAATTGACCGAGATAGGAGGTTCCTTTGCGAGATAAGACATGCTATTTACGAAAATTCCATTTAGTTTTTTTTTATATTTTGTAAAATCTCATTTCAGGTCGATTCCTACATCAGTGCCGTGTCTAGCTTATGTAAGTAAATATATATAAACATCGATAATTATATCTGCATGAACTACGCCTGCAAATCGATTGAGCATGAAATTACCTATAATACAAATAACGTACCTTAAGAACTGACTCGACATTTCTCCCCTAACCCCATCTAAATAGACACCGTAGTAATATGTCTCCTAGAACGCTATTCATCTTTGTCTAAAAATAAAACTATGAACCATAAAAAAGCGATTTTCTTACAGACAGCAAAGGAGAGTCTTGCTGAAAGCATAAATTTAGTCAGGTTGATACATCTTTTATGTGCCGTGTCCCTTCAGGACGTAGGCGATCATGGCTCTCCACTTCCTCCTATCTCTTGTAGCTCTCAATAAGTTATGTCCCTTTGCTACTTCTCCCAGACCCAGTTCTGTCCTCCACTTGCTTAAGCCCGCTAGGTATGTCACGCGTTACTCTCCCCTCCCTCTCTTTCCCTCTATTCGCCATGTGAGTATCAGATTCTCCAAGCCCTCCTTTCTCATTAAGTGTCCCAGATGTTTCAGCTGCCTCTTCCTGATGTTAAGTATAAGCTTCCTCCTTGTTTGCATCTTCTCCAAAACCTCATCGTTGCTCACACGTTCGGTCTATGGTATCCTTAGCATCCTTCTGTAGAACCATACCTCGAGTCTCTTCTTCATCTTTGGGAAGACCGTCCAACATTCGCTGCTGCAAAGGAGGACAGATGTCACTTAACAGATTAGTACTCTTTTCTTTGTTACCAACGAAATCCTCCTGTCTTGTAATACTCTGCCTAACTTTTGGAATTGCGTCTTTGGCCATCCCATTACGCCTTCGGATCTCAGTGTCGTACTTACCATTCTCTGTCAGAACACTTCCCAGATATTTTAATTTCCCCACCTTCTTGATTTTAATGTCCTTAATGTGTAAATCGCATTTCGGGTTCATCCTTTTACTGATGACCATGCATTCTGTCTTCTTGTAGTTTATGCTTAGTCCTTTCTTCTCGCTCTCCTTCGCTACCTTCTGTAGGAGGTTTTGTAATGTCTTTTCCATGTCTGCTGTTAGCATTTACTATTATTTTATTCTTAGACTAGCAGTAGAGCCCGGCGTTGCCCGGAGATGTAACCGTAAGAGATAGATCAAGTATCGACCATAATAAAGACTGAAAAATAAAATTGACAAAGATTATTGTTTAAGGTTGACGGACACGCATGTCTTAATTAGTTTTTTTTGTTTGTTTTTTTTTTTACGAATTGGTCAAACCCAAACTCAAACAAAAGCATTGTTTTCAATCGTTATTATAAACAATTGTCTTGTAAATGGAATTTTTAAAGCATTCTGAATGTAAAAATAAAGAAAAAAGTGTGCAAGACAATAAGAAACAGTACCTATCAAAAAAAAGTGAAGTTTTGTTGAAATCAGTTGAAAAATGTAGGAAATCCGATCCCATATATAAACGAACACAGACACACACTCACAAACAACCTGGGTTTTATAATAAGTATAACTCGATATGAGTTGTCTCCATTTCATTCTCGACAGCGATGCCTCTTAATCGTGTTTTAAAATTGATTTCGTGCAAAAACAATTGTGTTTTTTCCAATTTTTGGCGTTGTCAGAACCACCGCAAGGTAATTTTACGTAGTCCTGTGAAGTTTTGTTGAAATCGGTTGAAAAATGTAGGAAATCCGATCTAATATATAAACGAACACACACACACACACACAACCTGGGTTTTATAATAAGTATGATGTATTTCATCGAGTCTCTTCTTCATCTTTGAAAAGACCGTCCAACATTCTCTGTCGTAAAGGCGGACAGATACCACGTATCAGTTCAGTATTCTTTTCTTTCTTATCAACGAAATCCTCCTGTCTCGTAAAACTCTGCCTAGATTTTGGAATGCGTCTTTAGCCATTCCAATACGTCTTCGGGTATCAGCTTCGCACTTACCGTCCTCTGTTAGAACACTTCCCAGATAGTTAAATTTCCACACCTGCATGATTTTAGTCCCCCCCCCGCCACGACTTTTAAATCACATTTCGGTCTCATCCTTTTACTGATGACTATGCATTCTGTCTTTATGTAGTTTATGCTTAGTCCCTCGATCTCCTTCGTTACCTTCTGTAACTTTTCCGTGTCTGCTATCAGCACTTTGTCATATGACCTTCGATTGTCATATGACCTTTGTCATATGACCTTCGATTGTCATATGACCTTCGATTTGCCACTTTTCAATATTTGGACACTTTATATTGTCCTGATATTCAAAAGTTCCTGACTGTTCAGTAGTTTTGTATCAGAAACGTAAACAAATCAATTTCTAAAGACTTAATAGATTTTTATTTACAGTGGGCTATAAGTTTTTAGCCACCCTTGATTACAGCAATTTTGGCTTGTGTAATAACGTCTTTTCTTTTTTTTCAGACAATACCGTGTTAGTATCAAGCTACTCTCATCTATAAACGATAGTTGACTTATATTTTGCAATGAAAGTTCATGGAAATAATAAAATTGGTGAATTTCAACGAGGGCAAATAATAGGATATCATCAGTGTGGCAAGTCAAATAGAGAAATTGCTAGGTTTTTCCAGGTTAATCATCAAAGGGTTAATAATATTGTCAAGAAATTTAATGAAGAAGGCCATTGTCTTGTGGAACATCGTTCAGGAAGTCCAAGTATCATGTCTGAGCGAACGAAAAGGGCGCTGAATAGAGAAGTCATCAGAAACCGTCGTCAGAGCGTCAAAGATGTCGCCAACAGCATGGAAATGTCACCATATGCGGTGAGAAAGACTCTAAAAGAGCTAGGCTACCAAAGAAGAGTTGCAAGAAAGAAGCCCTTGATTTCAGAGGTTAACAGGAACAGGCGTATTGACTGGGCGAGAGAATTCGAGAGTAAAGATTATGAATTTTGGCAGTCTGTAATTTGGTCAGATGAAAGTAAATTCTGCCAATATTCGAATTCGAGATAGGTTTATGTTTGGAGAAATCAGAATGAGATTTGGAACACTGAATATCTGCAGCTGACCGTGAAACATGGAGGGATTGAAGTCATGGTGTGGGGCGCTGTCTGGTTTGGAGGTAAATCTGAGCTGATTCTTGTTGACGAGCGGTTGAATGGTCCAAAATACTGTCAAATATTAGAGAAAGGACTACTCCCATTAATAGAAACCAATCAGATTGGCAAGAATGTCTACCATTTTCAAGAAGATGGAGTGCCATTTTATGCGGGAAAAGTAGCAAAGGCCTGGAAGGAGTCGCAAGGAATCAAGTCACTGCCATGGGTAGCCCAAAGTCCTGACATGAATCCAGTAGAGCATGTTTGGGGACACCTTGATCGAAAACTTTGAGAGCACGAAACCAATCTTCCCCTATTCTCTCTTTTGGTCTTGCGCCACATTTTTTGAGTTTGAAAATTAAATATTGCTTCCTTCTTTGGTATCTCGACTTTACAAATTTAAGAGCAGTACTAGATTGTCAGTTAGGTCTTACAGTTGAAATCGCGAGATGCAATCATAAAATCTATGTTAACAGTTTCTTCTATTGTACCTCTCGCTTATGGAACTCTCTTCCGACCATTTGCTTTCTAGTTTGCATTGATCTTCAAAAATGTAAATGCAATGTCAATCGTTATCTTCTGTCTTCATAATTCCTGTTTTTTTTTTTTTTTAATTTGCCTCCAACCCCCGCCAATAATATCTTTTTCCTTTTTCTCTGAAGCTTTCATCGAGCGGGCTTACGGCCACATCATGATGAAACACCGGTTCCCACACGATTACCGAAGTTAAGCAACGTCGAACCAGGTCAGTACCTAGATGGATGATCGCTTGGGAATACTTTCAGTTTGGATGTGCGGGCGGTGTAATAGATAATGGCTCAAAATTGTTAATCAGAAAGGTGAGCTTAAATTCGTTACATTCACTTACGCGTAAATACCCTTGGGTAAGGGATGAATCCACATCTTTTTCCCCAAGCTATGGGTTAATTAGTAAGATTTATATCACTAAACCATTACTATCTAAAAAAAATCTTACAATCTAAAAACATTTTATGGCTTTAAATAAACCTGTAAAGTGTTGATAAACTGTAAAAAACGAATCACTCAGTGAATATATTCTTTCAGATTCAGTAATTATTTGCATCGTAATCGCTATTGCCTTGTTTGGGGTGAAATGATAAGAAGCACGCTCATTACGCCTTGCCATTACATCAGATAAATAATGACCCATTCCGTTTTGATTGCGAGGTAATATAGAAGAAGAAGGTACATCGGTGATGCTGCTTGGTTTTAAGGAAAAAAAGAAAGCATTATATTCAAGCGGGAGAAATGGCGCTGTTTTTCAATGTGCCTTCAAGTTGAAAAAAGCTCCTCTTGTGATAACACCGCACCATTTTTACTCGTCATTAAAAAAAATAAAAATAAATAAATAAAATAAAAGATAGGGCTGAGAATAGAAAATTTCCAAGTGGTTCTTAAGAACAACGTTCCGTTGAAGAAAAGCTTGTCCTTGAAGTTGTTGTGCAGAAAATGTAAGATTGCATATGAACACGAATTAGAACAGTGAAATGATTAAAACACATTTGGATACTAAATAGAAGTGTGCCTGACACGCCAAATCAGAGATATTTAGCTAAAGCACTTCACTGCTGTTGTTCCAAATTGAGTACAGTTAAAAGCAACGATAGATTCTGTATTCCCGTTCCAAAAATAGCTCAACCTTACTAGGAAAAGATTTTAGAAGAACCCAAACCAGCCGAGTCAGATATACTAACTGGAAAAACCTTTGCAAGAATAATTTTGCTTGTTTCAGTGTGAATTCGCTGTTTAGTACGTTCATTACAACCTGCCACTACCTCAGATAACTAATATGGACCATTCCGCTGGGATTACCCTGCCACAATCTCAGATAAATAATATGGACCAGTCCGTTGGGATTACGCTGCCACTACCTCAGATAACTAATATGGACCATTCCGTTGAGATTACCCTGCCACAATCTCAGATAAATAATATGGACCAGTCCGTTGGGATTACGCTGCCACTACCTCAGATAACTAATATGGACCAGTCCATAGGGATTATCCCCGCCACTACGTCAGATAAATAAGATGGACCAGTCCATAGGGATTACGCTGCCACTACCTCAGATAACTAATATGGACCAGTCCATAGGGATTACCCCGCCACTACGTCAGATAAATAAGATGGACCAGTCCATAGGGATTACGCTGCCACTACCTCAGATAAATAATATGGACCATTCCGTTCTGACTGCTAGGAAACCCAGAAGAAAAAATATATCAGTTACACTCCTCTTTTGAATAGGTTTATTCCGTGTTTCTTGTTTAGGATTGAACTTCTGGTTCCTTCTGAAATCAGCTTTCATTTTTTACGGCTTAACAATTGTCTGTAAATTATTTAAAGCCAGAAAATATTTTCAGATTGTAAGAAATTTTTTGGAGATAATAATGGTTTACTGATAAAAGTTTTACTAATTAGCCCATAGCTGGGGGAGAAGAGGTGAATTCATATCTAATCAGAATTTGATAAGCAAACATCATAATGTGGATCGATTCTATATTACAATCAATATAAAAACTGATCCTTCACTTTGTGGCCACGTTTATTTCTATATATTTACGTATATTACAGAAACTGTAAATAAATCTAAAAGACATGCCTGTGTAGCTAATCAGTATTTCATTGATTGATTCACTTTCTACGATTTATCAACCTTTTTGCAGGTTATTTAAAGCCAGAAAATATTTTTAGATTGCCAAGAAGTAATAGCAATTCACAGATAAAAGAAAATGTTGTGGAGAGCCATGAACGTGCATTTTCTAAAGGAATATAGCATAAAAAAAGAAAATTGCGGTTTGCAAGTTACTTTTGCGAACTGCTTCAGTGGTCGAGAGATCGCTTCCCAGTAGGCGCTCCATAGCATTGGCCTTGTTCCAAGTTCAATGAAGCTTAGGAAATACCTCTAAATGAAAGTGACGTGGATGATTAATCATTGAAAGCTCAGGGATTTTCCGCGGCAAACACAATCGTGGGGTTTCGGATATCGCTGTTTGGTGGACTCCCTTCCAGTTTCCTATTAGAGAGCGCCATCTTCTGTTTCCATTGGTGTTCCAAAGATCTCGATGGATTAATCAGACAATGACAAGTATTCAGGAAAATTACCAATTTGTCATATCATCTCAGTTCCTCGCACGCTTGAAATAATTAGAACACGGTGAAAGATTGGGAGAAAAAAAAAACAAAACCAAATAACACCAACAAAAACAAATTAATTTTGCAATCTCAAATGGAACATGATGAAGAGAGGTACTCGCTATGTTGAAAATGGTTTAATAAAGTCTTCTAAATGTTCAGCATTGGTGGGGAGGGGGGGAGAAAAAGAAGACAAAGAAAAGAAAATAGAGAAAAAGAAAAAAAAATGAAAAAAGAAAAATAGAAAAAAGGAAAAAGAAATACAAACGAAAAACATAAAAACATGATAAAAGAAAAAAGAAAAAGAGAAAAATAAAAAAACAAAAAATACAAAAAACATGACAAAAAGAAAAAGGAAAAAAGAAAAAGACAAAAAGAAAAAGGAAAAAAGAAAAAAGAAAAAGGAAAAAGATAAAAAGAAAAAACTAAAATTAAAAAGAAAAAGTAAAAGAAAACAAAGAAAAGAAAGTAGAGAAAAATATAAAAAGCAAAAAGATAATAAAGAAAAATAGAAAAAAGAAAAAGAAATACAAACGAAAAACATAAAAACATGATGAAAGGAAAAAGAAGAAAAAGAAAATAGAAAAAGAAAAAGAGAAAAATAAAAAACAAAAAAGACAAAAAACTTGAAAAAATGAAAAAGAAGAAAGAAAAAAAGAAAAAGACAAAAAGAAAAAATAAAATAAAAATAAAAAAATAAAAGAAGACAAAGAAAAGAAAATAGAGAAAATATAAAAAGCAAAAAGAAAAAATAGAAAAAGAAAAAAGGAAAAAGAAATACAAACGAAAAACATAAACACATGATGAAAGGAAAAAGAAGAAAAAGAAAATAGAAAAAGAAAAGAGAAAAACAAAAAAGACATAAAAAAGCATAAAAAACGTGAAGAAAAAGAAGAAAGAAAAAAGAAAAAGACAAAAAGAAAAAGACAAAAAGGAAAAAGACAAAAAGAAAGAGTAAAAGTAAAAAGAAAAAGAAAAAAGGAAAAGAGAAAAAGAAAAGATATAAAAGAAAGAAAAAAGTAAAGGAGAAAAAGAAAAGATATAAAAGAAAGAAAAAGAAAGAAAGATAAAATACAAAAAAAGAAAAAAAAAACCGTATGGAGAAGTTCAAATTCTCTTTGATTTTTATAAGCGATGCGTTATCCGAAACGCCGATAACAGCCCGCGTGAAATAAATCCCATACTGACTTTTGCAACTATTCCTTACTAGCTTAAAACTAGTTCTTGCAGAGGGATCTTGATTAGGCCTTCATCACAATAGTTACGCAAGGAGTAGATGCGATAGGTAACAATAAACTACAAAAGAACTCAAAATTGATCGCTGTATTTAAGTATTGCATTAATATTTAAGCTTACCTTTCAAAAGTTCAACAATAATTCTTCTGCCGCCACTTAATTTAAAGAGAGTTTAATGTGCGTAGGTCCTTACTTTACGTACAAACAATTATTTTTATCTCATGGGTGACTTTCGGTGGATTTCGCAATTAATTTCGATTATTCCCAAATTTATTTTCTAGTTATGAAAATTGTTATAGTACAAAAAAAAAAAAAAATTCGACACAAAAATCACGTAAAAAAATCGCCGAAAACAATCGCTGTATTGAAAACTTGGCAATCAAAAATTTTAAGAACTGCGAATCCGGATCCAGGTCGGAATGTTTTTAATTTGCTTACGGAGTCAGCCAGATTCCAAAATGGTATATGTTGGGTTACGACCTGTAGGAGTAAACTTGAAAACACGGACAATTTTATTTTGAAACGCTGTAATTTGAGAACAGTAATTTTTTCATTCGAACATGAGTTGTTGGAAGTCTGAGAGTTGTGTCCCTTTAGTTGTTTTTATCAGTAGAAGTCAAGATGGCGGAATCCGAAAACAATCGCAGTAATGAAAACTTGGGAACCCAAAATTTTAGGATTGCGGGTACGGATCTGACTCGGAATTATTTTAATTTGCTCACAGAGTTGGCCTGATTCCAAAATGGTATGATTCCAAAATGGAATGTTGGGCTACGGCCTCTAGGAGTAAAGATGATAAAGTGTGACAGTGACATTCGCGTTTATTATATAGATGAGCAGCAGCCTTTGTGATGCCGACTACAAACAGCAAACAAAGGACTACTTCGGAGGCTATAATGGATACTAGGTATGAATGAAAGTACTTTTGTTCATAGTTAAATTCTCCGAATTTTTATGTAGTGCGTTGTATCGGGGATGTTAGGTGTGATGTAATGGATAATGGCACGAAATGAGAGAATCGTAGAACCGAGTTCTAATTCCAGTCAGGTTCTTCACTTACGTGAAAATACCCTTGGGAAAAGGTATGAATCTATCTCTTCTCCGCCCGACCAGCTATGAGTTGAATTGCACGACAAAATGGATCTTATAGCCTTGGTTGACAACCAGTCTATTAAAGAATAAGACGGCAGCCTACTGCGGGAATATATTCTGCCTAGTCTCTCATCAATGGAAATAGACATGATCGCCCAAGCATCGCGTATGGCAGTTTACTGACTGACATTGTATCAGAGGAATAATAAGGATTCGTTCTTCCTTGACTAAATGTCAAGTCCTGGGTATGACGATAAACTAGATCCGGCAGCAATGCCTCTGATTGGGAGACTGGAGGTTTTCAGGAGCATGAATTAATTGCATGAATTTTAATTGCTGTTGTTCCCAGGTCCACCCCTGGCCCAGGCTGGTTACAACCGTTAGGGTCCCAGCTATGGGTTAAATAGTGATCCCCCAAACAAAACACCATGAAAGTATAAAAATACGTTTTCATAATAAAAATACCAGCAGTACATATAAAAATACATATAAAAAAGACCCACAGTACATAACCATTTAAAAAAAAAATAATAATCTGTAGGTGAAGGCATACAATTGGGTTCAAAATATATTTAGTTGAAGCCATAAAACTGTGTTCTAGTTATTTCGGCATTAAATAACCCATAGAGGTGTTGATATGCCGCTAAACAGACTCAACTAACCAACATGAACTCTCATGATATTCAGCCGTATAATATCCTGTAATTTCTTAAATCAAACTATATTCCAAAATAACTTTGAAAATACACACACACACACACACAGAGGCGAAACATAAAACACATCACCACCACTAGTAACTGTCCACACACACTTGTACATGCAGAACAGCTCAGTGTCATCTACTATATTTACACTATTTACATTGTGCGGACTGTTGTCCTAATCTTTGTTGCTATATTCAAGGGCACATAGCCAAGTGGATAAAAGCGTTGGTTGACTCCAGTGACTTGACCCAAAGAGTTGTGAATTCAATACCAGCCTATAGCAGTAATGAATAAAAAAAAAAAAAAACAAAAAAAAACTTGGACAGTTGAGTCAAAGGGAGATAACTGAGACATCCGGAAGAGACATGGCGCGTGGAACGAGAACAATCTACCACAGTGGACGAAGTAATGAGTTCAGTTCGAAATTCCAATCATCTGAAAAGGGCCGGAGCTTACAACGGCCGAAACGTCGTGAATATGTCAGTCCGGACAGTTTAAATAGTGTAAATAATTACAATGCCTCATCTCGGAAATATTGACAGATGTCATCTGACATGGATTCAAATGTGAAAGCAGAATGAGATATCATATTTTTATTACTTCAAAGCTCCCAAGAAAATTACATTTCGGCATTAAATGACCCGTAAGGAGTTCATATGCCGTTAAACAAATCAGCCAACTAAACAAGTATGTCATGGTTGATAAAAATATACAATGAAACTTACGAAGCAGGACTTTTAACATTTATTAAACTATTCTTTCTCTCTCTCTCTTTCTTTCTTTTTTTTTCTTTCTTTCCGTCTCTTTCTTTTTTCCTTTTTCTCTCTTTTTATGACGATATGTATTAAACTACACTTCTTTCTTTTCTATCTCTTTCTTTATTTTTTCTTTCTGTTTCTTTTTTTTTCTGTCTATATATCTATTAAACTTCACTTTTCTTTTCTTATTTCTTTCTTTATTTATCCATTTCTTTTCTATCACTTTCTTTTTATCTCTTTCTTTCTTTCTTTCTTTCTTTTTATTTCTTTCTTTTTCTATTTTTTCTTTCTTTTTATGTCTTGATATGTTTGAAACTACACTTTATTTTCTTTTTTGCCTTTCTTTTTCTTTTTTCTTCGTCTTTCTTTGTATTTCATTCTTTCTTTCTTTTCTATTTTTTTTCTTTCTTTTTGTGCTTTGATATATATTTAACGACACTTTTTCTTTTCCTTTTTTTCTTCGTCTTTCTTTGTCTTGCTTTCTTTTTCTGTCTCTTTCTTTTTTTTCCTATTTATTTTAGTCTTTCAGTCTTATTTTTTCTTTCTGCCTGTTTCCTTTTTCTATTTTTCTTTCTTTTAATCTGACTTGATATTTACTAAACTATACTTTTCTTTCTTTTCGTCTACCTCTCTCTTCCTTTCTTTTGCTATTACTTTATTTCTTTTTCTATTTCTTTCAATCTTTCTCTTTTTCTTACTATCTTTTCCTGTCTCTTTCTTTCTTTTTCTATTTTTCTGTTTTTATCTATATTTTTCTATTCGTTTTTCCCTTTTCTTTCTTTCTTTCTTTCTTTCTTTCTTTCTTTCTTTCTTTCTTTCTTTCTTTCTTTTGCTTTGAGTCTTTACCTTTTACGCTTTCTTAAAAGAAAAAAAAATCATATTGTCTCGCCGTCCGCAGTGTTTCTGTCCCTCATCGAAATCGTCGCACAAAACAGTTATTAATTGGTGCTACAGCATCTTCCATAAGTAGTAACGTATTTAAAAAAAAATCAAATTAAATTCCTTTTAAACATTTTTTTATCTCTTTCATAGCCTTTTTTTTTCTTTTTGGGTTAGGGAGCGGAAATAAAAGACATCCGAAACCTCAGCTTGAATTTGAAACCCAGTCTCCATCGTTTTATATCGCACAATGCAGCCTAATTTGCCGAACTTTCACCCCCTAGATTTTTAAAAAAACGTTCTCTGCTGATTTTTTTCTTTATTATCTGTGAATTGCCACAGGGAAATATAGTAGAATGGTTTCCCATTGCCCTTTCCATGGCTTGGAATTTAGAGGAGTCTTTATCTCTTCAGGATGTAAGCGATAATGGCTCTTCACAACTTCCTTTTCTTTATTAACTAGGAATTTCCATGACTTCTTGCGAAAAATAGTGGAGTGGTTTACCATAAGCATTCCATGGTTTGGAATTTAAAGGAGTCTATCTCTGTTCAGGATGTAAGCGATAATGGCTCTTCACAACTTCCTTTTCTTTAATACCTGGGAATTGCCATGACTTCTTGCGAAAGATATTGAATTGGTTTACCATAACCCTTTCCAGGGTTTGGAATTTAAAGGAGTCTATCTCTGTTCAGGATGTAAGCGATGATTGCTCTTCAAAACTTCCTTTTCTTTATTACCTGAAAATTGCCATGACTTATTGGGAAATTTAGTAAAGTGGTTTATCATTGCCCTTTCCCCGGTTTGGAGTTTAGTGTAGCCTTTCCCTGTTCAGGATGTAAGCGATAATGGTTCTTCACAACTTTCCATTTTTTATTATCTGTGAATTGCCATGATTTCTTGGCAAATATAGTGGAGTGGTTTCCCATTGCCTTTTTCATTGTTTGAAATTCAGAGTAATCTTTTTCCATTCATAACGTAAGCGATGATGGCTCTCTCCACAGATTTCTTTTCTTTATTATCTGGGAAATTCCATGACTTCTTGGGAAGGATAGTGGAAGCATTTCATGTTGCTTCTATAGCAGGGGTGGCTAAACCACGGCTTGCGAGCATTTAATATGCGGCTCGTGGAAATATATTGTCTGAGCTCCTTTTTTCATCGCAGTAAATTTAAAAGTTAAATAAGGAAAATTTCAACCTTCACAATTATTTACTGGGTATGGATTGAGACCTCATTAGATTAAAACGCAAATTTAATGTTCATAGTAAAAATATTAAAGAATTTAAATCCTAATTTCATGTCTTGCGGTTCTCAAACATATGAACTTTATCGTATGTGACTCTTACATTAAGCAAGTTTGGCCGTCCCTGCTCTATTGCTTAGAGTGCCTAGACAAGCGTTTCTCAATCCTTTTACCCTTGCGTAACCCTTAAAATAAATTACATATCTCAAGGAATCCCAGCGCAAAATATATATATATATATATATATATCTTTCTCATTTTATTTTCATCGTAGTTCACATGGTAAATATCATAGTATATATTTTTGAATAACTAGTTTAAAAAAAAATAATACTTCTTTGTCAATTTTTTCGATAATGCTAAATAAAATTTATACTGTTTGTTTATAATACTTCATCAGGGAGTTTTCATTCACAAAAAATTCTTAACTCAAACGTAAAAAATAAACATAAGCAACCACTATCATATACCTATAATATAAACAGAACGAAAACAGATAATTGTTGCATTAGATTTTTCATTTTTTTATCCTTTACTGGCAAATGTTGAAAAGGCATAAGGTAAATCAAAGTAAAATGTCCTGTGAACCAATAATAGACATTTGATAAAGTGAAATATGCTTCTCTAATGTGAAGCTTGTGCCTGTCTTTTGTTACACAATTAATACTTAATTCCAATTCGAACTTTAGATAAACACACACGGATTTCATTCTCAGTTGAGAGGAGACGATTTCTCTCTTTGCTCTTGATACTTGTTAAATAAAAAAATGGCTTTCTCACACATGTAAGACGTTGAAAACTGCAACAATATATTAATTGCTTTCCTATGAATAGTAAGAAACTCTTCTTTCACAAAAATCCAGGACTTGTCCAGAGATAGGTCTGTAAATCTTTTCTTGAGTGTACGATTAGACTGCAGCTCACAAAGTTCTTCTTTGTTTAATGTCAAATTCTCAGGATGAATAACAAATTCAGAAAATGGCCCCCAACGCCCAAACATACACCTGTGTTGAAAAGGAAAATAATTTTCAATTCTGATCTACAGTTCCTCCAGATAGGATTCAATAAAACTTGATGTTTTCTGATATAAATAAAAAGTCAAAAGTGCATTAGGTTATCTCATCTGTTCTCGTGGAACCCTTGTGGACCTTTTGCAGAACCTTAGGGTTCCGGGGAACCCCGGTTGGGAAACGATGGCCTAGACTATATCACTATTTAGCACATGACTGGAGTGGTCATAGGAGAAGAGAGAGAGAGAGAGAGAGAGAGAGAGAGTTATGCCTTTTGAAAAAGGAATTACTGCGAATACAACAGGCAAGGCTGGAAGTTGAACTCGGCTCAGCGATTTAACTTTCTATGCCGATAACCGCTAAACCGTCCACACATCATTTTTCGCCTTACGCGATCAAAGTAGTAAACAAATCAATGAGATGAATAACAGAATTTGGGCCGTCTCTTGAACGCCGGATAAGCGCTCCAGTCAATGAAGTAAAATAATTTAAACGTTTCTTAAAATATTTCATTTGATTCACTATAGTATTGGGAATGACTAAACAGCTCACATGACAAGCCAGGTGTTAGATGAAACCTTCTAACAGCTTCGACAACCTTTTAAACACTGCTTGCTTCAATTTCTCATATTCAGAATAATAATAATAATAATAATAATAATAATAATAATAATAATAATAAATACCGAGTTCATTTTGGATAACAGAATATCAGACATAAACACTTTGTTCGCCCCCCACCCGTGCTATACGCTTTCAATCCTTAACTTGATCATGGCTGACATTAAGCGAAAGTATGTCAAAACGAGAGAACTTCTCACTAGCCATCACATGCGTCGCTCTAAGGTCGATGCGTTCAGATCCGGAGGAGGCAGAGGATTAGTTCAACTAGAACTGTCTTACGAAACGACAACAATCGGTCTTCAACGATACATAGAAAATACAGAAGACTGGACGGTGAGCTGTGTCAAAGAACATGAAAGAAATAGGAACAATTTGTAACTCTCTTCTGTAATCAAAGAAGCCAATAAATTCAAAAGGAAATTTCAAGTGGACGAAGAAGAGCAAATAGACCATAATCGACCTACTGCAGCAGCAAGAAGATAAAAAAAAGAAAACAGGAGCAAAGGCATTATGCCAAACGTAGAAACAATAGCAAGATAAGCCTCTTAGTGGTCAATATTATTCCTGTACTAAACTCTTGTAGACAAACCCCATACTCATAAGTGGTTACCTAGTTCAGGGTTAAAAGCTGAAGCTAATGGTTTTAATCTTGCTGTACAGGGTTTGCAAACTATAAATTACCAAGCAAACATACTGAAAAATTATGTTAACCCCAAATGCAGATTCTGTTGGGTTTAATTGGAAAAGTTTCCGATAAAATCATTGAAGGGATCTTTGGCAGCCTATGTAGCTTTGTTCTGACAATTACAGCTCCCACCTTAGGAAGGGTTTTATCTCTGTAAAATATGTGTATTATTAGGTTTTTTTGTTATTTTATTTTTTATAAAAATGTTCAGTGAAAAATGGTGACATTTCTGGCATTAGGTGTCGGTTGGGACTTGAAAGGAAATGAGTATACAACAGAAATCAAAGCAATTATTATTATTATTATTATTATTATTAATAATAATATAATAATAATAGTAATCATTTCTTTCTTTCTTTCTTCCTTTCTCAGTCTTTTTCTATCTATCTATCTATCTATCTATCTATCTATCTATCTATCTATCTAAGTCTGTTAATCTCTCGCTTTGTCTCTCTCTCACTATCAGATTTCTCGTATTTTTATATCTCAGTCTGTTATATCTACCTACCTATTTCATTCTGTTCCTCTCTATATCTCCCAGTTATTCCTCTCGCTCTTTCTCTCTCTCTCTCTCTCTCTCTATATATATATATATATATATATATAGTTGGATTTATCACATCAATAGATCTATAGAAATATGTGTTAAATAGTATGTTTTTGGTACGTCGGGGTTCACAAAATGAGGAAACTTATTAAGAATGACAAAGGACAGGAGGTAGTGGAGGTCCATGATCGCCTACTTCCTGAAGGAACAGGGCACATAAAAGAAGAAGTTCTATCACTGATATTGAGCGCTTTCCAATAAGTACCGCGCATATATAATATATGAATAATATATATAAAAAGTTGCATATATATAAATATATATATTTATATACATACACATTTTACACACACACACACACACACACACACACACACACACACACACACATATATATATATATATATATATATATATATATATATATATATATATATATATTTTAATATTTTCTATCTATCTATCTATCTCAGTCTATTTCGGTCTGTCTTTTTTTCAGTCTATCTATCTATCTATCTATCTATCTATCTATCTATCTATATCAGTTTATTCAGCATCTATCTATCTCAGTTTATTCAGCATCTATTTATCTATCTATACCTATCTCAGTCTATCTATCTATCTATCTATCTATCTATCTATCTATCTATCTATCTATCTATCTATCAGTCTGTAACTCTCTCTCTCTCCCTCTCTCTCTCTCTCACTCTCAGACTTCTCGTATTTGCATATCTCAGTCTGTTCTATCTATCTACCTACTTCAGTCTGTTCATCTCTATATCTCCCAGTTATTCCTCTCTCTCTCTCTCTCTCTCTCTCTCTATATATATATATATATATATATATATATATATATATATATATATATATGTGTGTGTGTGTGTGTGTGTGTAATGGACACTGTTTAGCGAAGCCATTCACAATGAAGGAAATCTGCATGTCTCCATTGTGAAACTGAAGCCTACTTGTTCGAAGGCACGTAATGGTAATGTTCGTGTATTTGAGTACGTGCGCTTAAACCGACAGACAGCCATCATTTTTTAGCCAAATTTCGTTAGAATCAAAGAAAAGGTCCTCCTTTATAGCAGCGAGTGCTGGACAATCTCCTCAAAGATGAAGAATACACTTGAAGCAACAGAAATCTGGTTCTACAGAAAGATGCTGAGGATACCATGGACCGAAAAAGTGAGCCATGAGGTGGTTTTGGAGAGAATGGAAACAAAAAGGAAACTTATGCCTAACACCAGGAAGAGGCAGTTAAAATTTCTGGGGCAGATAATGAGGAAAGAGGGCTTGGAAAATCTGATACTCACAGGACAGAGTGAGGGCAAGAGGGACAGAGGAAAGCAGCGTGTAACATACTTGATGGGCTTGAGCAAATGGATGGCAGAACAGGGCTTGGAAGAAATAACAAAATGACGAAACTTATTAAGAATGACAAGGGACAGGAGGTAGTGGAGGTCCATGATCGCCTACTTCCTGAAGGGACAGGGTACATAAAAGAAGAAGTTAGCTTGTGACCGTGCGAACTGTTTGTTTTTCCTGGGAAAACCTTTACGTAGAGTTTAGATAACCTCTTTTGCAGACTTTGCCGTCTTGTTTACGTGAACTTACTGTAATTCTCTCTCAGTTCCCGAACGAAGTTAAGCAACATCGATACTGGTCAGTACCTAGATGAGTGACTGCTTGTAAATACCAGGTGCTATAAGCTTGACTGTGCGGGTATTGTAAGGAATAATGGTTCGAAATAGTTAATCAGAGAGCCGAGTTCCAATCCCCGTTGGGTCCGTTATAGACACTGCGTGCCAAATTATTATCGGGATAACTTTTTTTCTAATATTTCAAAAACCGTCCAATCAATTCACACAAACTTTTCACACAATATTGGTAACAGTCCTGCGCAATCATTAAATTTTTCGTACTGATCTGCGCAATGTAAACAAACTGGCGCCATATTTGTTATCAGCACGGTGATTTGAGCGTGCCAAATTATTAGAAAGGTTTAGTAAAATTCCCAGAATCGAGCAAACAAAACGTTTATTAATGTTGCACGTGAATGTTTATGATCAAAAGAAGCTAATAAATAAGATAATCAAACAAATAATAACAGATACAAACAAAGGCACAGTTTTAAACAAATTAATAGGGAATGTGCTTTCCCTGTTTTGAAATTACTTGAATTTGTTAATTGTAGGATGTCATCTGCTGTAATACCGTGAGATATGTCAAGAATTGCTTCCCACAACTCAGCGTTGCTCCTGAATTGTTGTCCGTTGACATAGTCTTCGCTTCATGATGCTCCAAAGGTTTTCGATTGGGTTCAAATAGGGGGAATTTGATGGCCACTTCATTTTTCGAGATCTATCGAAGCCTAATTGTTTCAAATATTCAGTAGTCTTGTGAGCAGCATGTGAGGGAGCATTATCTTGCATAAAAACAATGGCCCTTCTGAAGGCAACTCTTTGCCTTTTCATTCACGGTTCAAGATGCCCCTTCATAAACGCTATGTATGCATCAGCAGTCATTTTGACACCATCTGGTACTCTCCATGGGCCCATTAATGTTTTTCCAATAATACCACACCAGATCATTATGCTTCCACCGCCTTGTTGGCGTCTCAAACACTGATGGCGATTCTGTCCGTTCATTACCCAGCCTTTGCACCAATTATCTGGCCCATCAAGTGTTGCTCGAGTTTCGTCTGTGAACAAAACTTTAGAGAAGTCAATCTTCATATTGTCCTCGGCCCATTTCAATCGATTTTGAATGTGATTTCTCGTCAACGGAGGCTTCGATACAGGTTTGACTGTTGTTGCTATTTCCCTCAGATACCGACACCGAGTACTTTTAGACACAGTAGGATTCCCAATGCGACTGAAAATCTCTTGACTGGTAAGTCCAGGGTTCTTCGTGGCCTCTCGTTTAAGTCGTGGCATGAGACGATGCGAAATAACCCTCGGCTTGCCTTTATCTGCCCTTTTGCGTACTTGTTTAGGGTCGGCGGTGAACTTTTTCACTGTTTGATGACACCTCCCTATCATTTTAGAAGTTTCTAGGGTAGATTTACCTTTTGAGAGTTCTGAGGTGATAGTTTTCTTTTCAGCATCACTTAAACTGCTTTTACGGTCCATCTTTTCACTAAATTCTTACACTTTTCTAATAATTTGGCACGCTCAAATGACCGTGCTGATAACAAATATGGCGCCAGTTTGTTTACATTGCGCAGATCAGTACGAAAATTTCAGTGATTGCGCAGGTAAATGTTGTTAACACTGTTTATTATAAACAGAGCATTTACTTAAATATTTGTATCTATAAAAAAGAATGAATAGATATAAAAAATATCTTAAAAGATATCTTCTTCGTATAGCTGGTTTCACTGTCACATTTAATTCCTTTTGTTAATAGCATGCCTTGTCGTTTGTTTTATATTCATTCGCAACAAAGTGTCGCCTGACAAGGGTTGCCTTACAAATGTTACCTGACAAATGATGCCCGAAAAGCGGCTCACTTTTTATTTGTATTTGTTCTGTTTCATCTTCGGGCCTCACAGTTGGTGACCCCCGACGTACTAAAAGCATACTATTTAACACATATTTCTATAGAAATTCGGTAAGTACAGTGTAGACTAAATTGCACCCGAACAAGCTCCGATCAAAACCTATTACATGCGTATACTATTCGATTTGTATTGATGTCGTGCGAGGCCCGAAGATGTGACCCATCACATCGTAGCAGCAGAAATAGCCCCGTGTTCACAAGAATAAAAACATACACAGAAGTAACACTAAAAGAATGTTTAATTGTAAATTAAAATCATACAATTTTATTTATTTTTGTGTACTGGTGTGTGTGTGTATATTAGTTACAAGTGTTTTAATGTTGCGTGCGATAAAAGGAAGGAGTCACTTCGTATTATGACAAGCAATGTCTCGGAGAGAGGAGTTGAATTTTTTCGCCTTCCAACGGTCGTTAGCGAAGACACTGAATTCAGCATCTTTTGGCACTGAGTCTGTTTTCCGGAAGGAACTGTTTCTAGTGCATTCTAGGGGAACTTTTTATTTTTATTTTTGGATCTATTTAATCTATTTTAAACAAACTTTGAAGTTATTTGTTTTATTTTATTTATTTGTATATTTATTTATTTATTTTTAAGCATTTCACCCCAACCAAGATGGGAGTGCCACTAGCACGCAAGGGATTACAGAGAGTGGGAGCAAGAGTAAAGAGGCGTGATAGAGGAAAGGATGAAGAGAAGGACCGGGAATAGATCAAGGCATCTGGAGATGTCGATTGACATTGCATTTGAATATTTGAAGACTATAACTCTTAGGGAAGCAAGAGGAAGGGAGTTCCATAGACTGGAAGTGTGAGACATGAAGCTATCGGAGTAGAAGAGACGGCTACATTTAACTGTTTCAACAGTGAAAAGGTGGGACTGAGATGCCAGCCTAGTAGCACGTTTAAATTCATGCAGTTTAGGAACCAGCGAAAGTAGCACGTTGGAGCAGTTACCGTGAAAGTATTTGTAGAAAAGACAGAAGCGGGCGACGGCACGTCTGTGAGAGAGCGACTGTAAACGAGATGCCAGATCAGGGCCGACCACAATGTGTATCCGTCTCTGTATTTTGTCGAGGAACTTAAGACGAACAGCGGGGCCTGCTGACCATATATGGCAGCAGTGTTTAATGCAAGGGCAAATGGTTGATTTATAGATTTGAAGGATGAACTCAGGCGAGAAATAACTTTCTGGCGCGACACAGAGAACCAACTTTCCTTGCGGTAGATGAAGCTATAGATTCACTGTATTTGTTCCACCTCATGTCAGCAGACAGTGTGAGACCAAGCAGTCGCAGAGAGGTGATTTCGTGGAGTTGAGCATCAGACATTCTAATGGGAGGCAGGGATGGTTCTCAGTGGTGAGTAATAGAGAGTAGTTTTGTTTTTGAGGCATTAAAGTTAACCAGCCAATTCCTGCCCCAGTCTAAAAGCGATTGGAGATTTATTTTTTAATAATAATAATAATGTCCCTACAAATACAATGATATATTAAAGATGTATAACTAAATAACAATTTAATCCCGGTGTCCCGCAGGTCTATATACTTGCACTTAGATTGTTCCCGATTTCCATCAACAACCTTCCTAAAGTCATCAGTTCTCAAATCGGTGATGACACAACTATTTGCGCCTGTCTTAATAGTAAGTGTGATTGGCTTGATATGGTCAAATTGGCAGCTGAGCTCAGAAATAACCTACAATCTGTTGTTAACCGGTGCAAGGAATGGCTTGTTAATTTCAACGCCTCTAAAACAAAACTGCTTGCTTTTTAATCGTCTGAGAGAAAAATTTTGCCTTCCACCAGCATGGCTGATGCTAACCTCCAGTAGAGTGAGTCTGTGCCCCTTTTCGGACTAACATTTTCCGATGACATGAAGTGGAAAGATTATATTGAATCACTTCCTAGCTCTGTTGCTAGAAAAAGTGGTTCACAACGTCGTGCTAGACATTTTTTCTCGCCAAAAGTCTATCATTCGTCCTTGCTTTGAATATTGCTGCCAGATTTGCTCCTGCTATGTATGAAGAGATTCTTGATAAAAAATTCAAAGAAGAATTTCCAATGTTATTGGTCCTGACCTGGCATCTCGGCTTCAGTCATTTTCCCATCGCCCTAACGTAGCTTCTGGTGTCTTTATATATATATATATATATATATATATATATATATATATATATATATATATATATATATTCATTTTAATTGTTCTAATGAACTTTATGCAGATTTTATGAACTTCAGCGCAATACTCGGTCTCATCATTTTGCAATTGAAATGGCTAGATGTAGCCGCAAGTTCTATGCTAACAGTTTCTTTTCTCGCACTTCTTGCTTGCAGGAATCTCTTTCGGTTTCTTGCTTTCCAGTCAACTTTGATCTTCAAAAATTAAAACCCAGTGTCAATCGTTATCTTCTGTCGCCTTAATTCTTATTATTTTATTGTCCACTCTTCTTACTAGTGTTGTTTTTCTTTCTCGTGTTGGCTAACACTCAGTAACAATAGACCGAATGTAATAGTGTACATAATTTCGCAGATAGTTAAATTTCCGTACTCGCTTGATTCTAAGATGCTCTTGCTAAGATGTGAAGAAGATAAGGTCACTCGTCTGAATAAATTATGAGTACCGAAAAGTTACGTAATATCGTTCCTATTATATGGCAGTGAATGATGGACAATCTCCTCACAGATGAAGACATTTAAAGCAACAGAAACAAAGAAGAGTACTGATGTGTTACGTAATATCAGTCCTCCTATATGGCAGTGAATACTGGAAAATCTCCTCAAAGATGAAAAAGAAACAACAAAATCCAAGAAATCGGTACTAAGCAGTTATGCAATATCAGTCCTCCTATATGTCAGTGAATGCTGGACAATCTCCTCACAGCTGAAGAAGAGATTTGAAGGAACAGAAACAAAGAAATCAGTACGTAACTGTTATGCAATGTCAGTCCTCCTATATGACAGTGAATGATGGACAATCTCCTCAAAGATTAAATAAAGAGACTTGAAGCAACAGATAGAAAGAAAAGAGTACTGAAGTGTTACGTAATATCAGTCCTCCTATATGACAATGAATGCTGGACAATCTCCTCAGAGATGAAGAAGAGATTTGATACAACAGAAACAAAGAAAAGTGTACTGAACCGTTATGTATTATTAATCCTCCTATATAGCAGTGAATGCTGGACAATCTCCTCACAGATGAAGAAGAGACTTGAAGCAACAGAAATGAGTACTGAACTGTTATGTAATATCCGACTCCTATATAGCAGTGAATACTTGACAATTTCCTCAGATGAAGAAGACATTTAAAGCAACAGAAACAACGAAAAGTGTACTGAACTGTTATGTAATATCAGTATGTTTGGCAGAACGGGGATTAGGGGAGAAATCAAAATACCAAAATTTTCTAAGAGCTAAAAAAGGACAGGAAATTGTAGAGCGTCATGATCGTCAACCTCCCGAAAGAGCATGATACATAGAAGAAGGGCTAATCCGCCCCTTAAATACATCATGGTTGGCTCTCCCGTTGTATTCGACGTATGAGGGTCAACCAGCTGTTCCTAGGAACCGACAGATCAGACACCAGCACATATATATCATAACAGGTGATTAAAAATGAGTTAGAATCAGAAAACGACAGTTGACATTTTTAGGACGAAAGAGTGTTTGGAAAATTTGACACTCACAGGGAAGAGGTACAGAGGAAATCAACATATAACTAACCTAATGAGCTTGCGTAAAAATGGATGACGGAAAATTAACTAGGACTAGGGTAGGGGATAGTAAATAATAAACCGTAGTAAGAGTTACAAAAGATAGGAAGTTGTGGAGGGCCATGATCGCCCATGTGACATGGTAGATAGAAGAAGAATATCATAATGGTTTTGGAATGTGTTTTAAAAAATCTTGATAAACTTCATGCTGATAGTGCACGGTCGGATAAAAAAACAACAAACAACAAAAAAACCCCAAAACAAACGCTTTTTTTTTTTTTACAAATACCGTGTTTCAAAACAAAACAAAAACAGAAAAAAGCGCTCTGGAGATAATTAAAAAAAACCACACTGCTGTGCAGCATTTCATTGAAAATAAAAGCAGACGTAAAAGAACCACGTTAAAACACAAGCAACCATTTTCTCAGATAAAATGTGTAAAAAAATACCTATGTACGCACATAGTGTCATAGATTAAGATAAATATGTCCGCACGCACCAGTATGTGTGTTTTCTCCTCCTACTCTCACCTTATTACATGTTATCGTTCCTATTTCTACTCCTCATTTTGTGTCAAGTGTTCCGTCGCCTGAATTACCCCTCCCTTGCTCGAATCACCTTATACTTTCTCTCATGACCCCCTCTCTTATTGTAACTGTTTTCTCTCCGGTACTCACGAGCTGAAGTGTTTCCCCATTACTGTTTTAAAACGCATTTACCTTTCTTTCTTTTTCCCAGTTTCTCTGTCTTATCGTCAGTCTCTTTTTTTTTCTTTTTTATATACCCCCTCTCTCTATTGACGATTACTTGCACATTTTCTTTCTCTTATTCGTTTATTTATTTTTCTTTTCTTTCTTTGTCTCGCGATACCAACTGCTTCGTCTTTAATTTTCTTACTCTTTCTAATTGAAAAGAAAGAAAGAAAAAATGATATCGACAGAGTAGAGAACCTACGGGTTTAGCTCCCTCCCCCCGCCTTTATCTTAGATTAGTTGTCTTTTCTAGTGGTTCTTTTTTTTTTCTCTAATGTGTGTTTTATATGCTTAATTTTTATATTTCTCCCTACCGTTTGATTCCATTGCTTTGTATATTTTTCTCACCTTCGTTTGTATTGGAAGAATTGCCATATTCATGTCTCGGTTGCTTTTGTCGTTTTTCATATTACAGACCAACCATCGTTAACATTAGGCAGGACCGGTGCAAGGGCCTCACCCCACCACCAATCTATGATACGGCCACACCCACTCTACTACATTTCAAATCATAATTCATAATGTAGTATTCATATCAAAATACAAATTTTATTACAACCTAATTATGTACAATAATGATCATATGCAATATAGGTGAACAATTCAACTAGAAAAATTGAAAACATAATGATGTATTTAAAATAAATACAAAGAGACATGTCATTAGATCATTCCATCTTAAATAAATAAACAGAATTTTGAGGTAATTTTTAGCAGCAACTTGAGATTTTTCTTTTTAAAAAGTTGAATAGTTTTAATAATACATTCAACATTATGGATAAAAAAAAAACATTGTGAATTTTATATAGTATTTTTTCGAGACTTAACATGTGCAAAACAAATTTTGGATTTGGTCGGAAAAAAAGGACCCCAGAATGACGTCAAAATCCGCGAAAATTTTTCATCCTTTTTAAATAATAGTCAGTTGTTGGTTTAATTTCTAACGTATTTAAATGTAGGTAGAAAAAAGAAAATATTGATAAGAAAGCGAGGGTTACAAAACACTGCAAAACATTACCCGGGGGACCCCAGTCAGGTTTGTCGTCATCCCCCCCCCCGCGGTTTGGGTAGTACGCACCGGCCCTGATATTAAGCTTCATGTTTATTTCTTTTGCTACAGGAGAGTCTCCCCAGTTTTAAATTGTCATCAAGAATCTCTTCTACAAAGATTTCTCCGTTAACGATTTTCATTTGTTTATTTATTTTAACCGTTGTTACGTTTTTCTCGATTTCCTCTTTCTTTTGACACGCATCTCCCTCTCCGTTATTGTTAATCTTGTGTCTTTTTCTTTTTTGAACACTCCTCTCTAATGTTTTCTTTTTCCTCGTCCTCCTCACCCCTCTCTCTCTTTCCCCCCCTCTCTCTCTCTCTCTCTCTCTGCAATATTCTTTTACACCTTTCTTGCCTGTTTTTAAATCGTTTTTTTTAGCTTTCTGTTCGACTCTTTCATTAAAAAGACGTTTTATTTTGCTTGCTAATAAGTCTTCATCGCCCATCAATTTCTACTCTCTATCAAATTTTCCTCTCCAAAGCTATCTCCCCCCGCTATTATAATATGTTCTTTCTTCTCTCTCTCTCTCTCTCTCTCTTCCGTACCTTCTTTCTTTCATTCTCTCATATTCTTTTCCCCTCGTTGTAAACAATTCCTTTCTCTCGTTTCTATACTCTACTTTTTATCATGCTCTCTTTCTTCCTTTAGTAATATTCTTCTTTCTCTCTTTCTTAGAAAAATCCCTTTCCCCGCTGTCTTTCATGTTCTCCTTTTCTTTCCCTCTTTCTGATACCCTTCTTTCTCTCTATTAATTACACACTCTCTTTCCCCATACTGTAATACTTTCCTTTCTCCCTTTTTCATACTCTCTTCCTTTCTCTCATTCTCTCTTCTTTTCTCTCATTGTCTCTTTCCCTCTTTGTAATAGTTTCCATCCTTTTTCTTCCTCTTCCATACTATCTTTCTTCCTTATGCTCTCCCTTATTGTAATGCTTTCTCCCTCTTTCACCTCTCCTTCTTTCCCTCTTTCCCTTTTTCCAATTCTCGCATTCCTTTCTCCTTCTCATCTATATCTTTCTTTCTTTCTTCCCCGTTCTCACACTCTCTTTCCTTCGTTGTATTACTTTCCTTTGTCTCTCTTGCATACTCTCTTTTTTCTCTCATTTTCTCTTCATAATACTCCTTTTCCTCATTTTCACCCCCCTCATTCTTGCTTTCTTTTCTTTAATACATGCACTCTTCCTTTCGGATAGACTTTTCTTTCTCTTTATCTCAAACACACTCACTTTCCCACATTGCAATACTCTCTCTTTCTCTCTTTATCATGCTCTCTTTCCGTCATTGTAATACTTCCCTCTTTCTCTCTTCTATATTCACATTCTTTCTACTTCTCACATGCTCTCCTTCACATTATAATACACTTTTCCCCCACTCTCTATTCCATACTCTTCTTTTCATTTTCCTCTCTCTCTCTATCTCTCTCTATCTCTCTCTCTCTGTAATGCTTACTTTCTTTCACTGTGATATTCTTCTTGCTCACTCTCTGTCTCTTTCATACTCATCTTTTTTCTCCCTTTCTTTTATTCTCTCTTTCTTACGTTGTAATACATTCTTTCCCCACTCTCTATTCCATACTTTAACTTTCTCTCTCTTTCTCACTGTTGTGCTCTAGTTTTTACCTTGTAAAACTCTCATTGCTCTCTCTCTCTCTATCTTTCTCTTTCATACTCTTGTCCTTTTTCTTTCTTTGATGTTTTTTTATCGACTCTCTCTTCCAGACTTTCCGTTTCTCTCACTCTCTTTTTTCTGTCGTCTTCTCTTTCCTTACATACTCCCCCTTTCTCTTTCTCTGTCGTACTCCCTATTTCATACTTTCCTTTTTTTTCTCTCTCTCTTTCTTTCCTTGTAATACTCTCCTTGCTCTCTTTCTTTCTTTCATACTCTCATCATTTCTCTCCCTTTTTCTGACGTTCTCTTTCCCGCATTGTCTTTGCTCTCTTTTTCTCATCCTTTCTCCCCCTTTCTCTTCCATACTTACTTTCCCTATTCAATGCTTCTTTTCCTCTTCCTTTTTTCTTCAATGCTCCCATTTTCTCTCCCTTTCTCACCCTTAGAGATCTCAATTTTATCTCTATCATAATTATCGATTATCTCCCTCCTCCTCGAGTTTCTCACTGAAACTTTTTCTGTTCTCTTTGCTTCTTTGCACAACCCCCGCATCTCTACCCTTCTCTTTCTTCTCGCATAACACTTTTAGCCCCCTTCCTTCTTCCTATATTACCTCTTACTCTTTCTAAATTTTTCTCTTCTTCTTCTTCTTCTTCTTCTTTCTTCTTCTTCTTCTTCTTCTTCTTCTTCAGGACGTTGGCTCTCCCCAACATCTCCATTTTGTAGCAGAAATCCTTATTTCTGTCTCATGCACTTTTTCAGTTATCCTTGCATTTTTCTGAAGGCGCCTGTTGCAGAACAACAGTTAACAAGCTAGTTACATAGAAGTGTGTTCGATCTTCACAGTGGGCTCATCCCATTAGTATCGTCATCGTCTTCTGTACGTGTCGTGGCACTTCCTGACATGTTGTAGCGCTTAATAAACATTGTCTTTCTGTTATTTCTCCTAAGCCCTGTTCCATCATCTATTTTTTAGTCAAGCTCACCAAGTATGTTATGCGTTGCTTTCCTCTGCCCCTCTTGCCCTCAATCTGTCCCATGAGTATCAAATATTCCAAGCCCGCTTTCCTTATGCACCCCAGAAACCTCAGCTGTCTCTTCCTGATTAGAAAGTAGGCTATTAGTTTTCTTTTCGTTTTCATTTTCTCTAAGCTTGATTAAACTAAATAAAAATATTTCCCCATTTTTTTTTTACTTTCTTTCATTCATCCATTCATTCATTCATTCATTCTTTCATTCATTTATTTATTCATTCATTTAATCATTCATTCATTTTCTATTTATTCTTGTACATCCTTCCTTCTGTCTACCCCCACTTTTTAACCATTTTATACATACATCCCGTTTTTTTTATCTTTCTCTATCACTCACATTTGTAGAGCATTCTCTCTCTCTCTCTCTCTCTCTCTCTCTCTCTCTCTCTCTCTCTGATTGCCAAAATATGTGCCTCTCTCTCTTTTCTTTCGTTCAATTTATCTCTGGAATATACCGCCTTTCTCGTTATCTTCTCTCACCTATTAGTTTATCCCCCTCCGTTTTACCGTCTCTCATTTTACTCCCCACTCCCTAAGTCCTCTCTTATAATCATACTCTCCTACTCCTTCTCTCTTAATACCGCAACCATTACTACTTTCAGGGACGGTTTCGTTGAATGCAGCGGAAAAAAAAAAAAAAAAAAAAAAAAGAAAAAAGAAAAAAAAAAGAACTACTTTAACTGCTTTTACGTTATTCATGTTGCTGCTGTTGAACGAACGGGACCACCACAAAATCCTCAAACTTACAGACGAAAAGTTAACATAGGATATAAATGGGGGAGGGAAGCTAGACAACAGACTTTAATAATAATAATTAGTAGTTGTAATAATAATTAACAACAACAACAACCACAGAAGATTGGATTGGATTTTGGCCCACCAAACACCATAATAAAAACAAGCGTGCTGTGTCGTCCAAGCCTAAACCCTACTTTGTGAATTTATTTTTATTTATTTTAAGTAAGAATTTGTAGGGAAAAAAACGAAGTTTTATTATTGAATTATCTAAGAAATCAACTAATTCTTGTTTGTTCGGACGTGTTGTATCAACAAAACCACTTTACAATAAGAATGATGTAATCTGGAGCAAACTAATACAAAAATAATTATTTCAGTCCCACTAAATCACTAGTAGAAAGTGCCCGTAGTATTTTTTCATTTTTTTTAAATATTTAATTTAAATAATTCTTAAATTAAACAATTTTCTTTTGTTTTTTACTTCGTTGTTGTTTTAATGTTTATAGCCTAATTCTCAAAACAACTGTAGCAAATAATTTTTAGAATTTCGAATAATAACACTAATTCGCAGATTTGTTTGGAAAATAACACTTAATGAAGTAAATAAATGAGAGCATGCCTTCGTCAACAACTTGTTTACGATAAAAAAATCTAATTACCTCAGAAAGGTGAAAAGAAAAAACAAAAGAAAAAAAACCAAAAAAAAAACAAGACAAAACAAATAAGCAATAAATACCTCGATTTTTATTTATTTAGAGAGATTACTGATAGCTACAAATGAAAACCGAACACAAGAGAGAAAGTCCGAAAGACAGAACAAGGAATAGTGTGAAAAGAATAAATTGCAAATAAATTAAAAAAAAAATATTATATCTTCTTTAACGAATAGAGAAAAGAATAAATTAATTATAAACACCCCAAAAATAATATAAAAAATAAATTAAAAGTCCAGAGCCAGGAAGGAGAAGCTTTTTAATTTTAAGACATTATTATTTTATTATTATTTTAACTTCTAAGAAAGTGATCTATCTTTCAGTCTTCCATGTGTAGATCGTACGTCTTGTGCAGCTTGTAAGAACAACAACAACAACAACAACAACAACAACAGCAACCAGTCATAGTAGTAGCCGTGACGATTCCTTTTCGGCTTGGCAACATCTACTCTTCATTTTCACCGTACAACAACAACAACCAGTAAAGGAATTTGCCCAAATCCGAAAGCTCGGTCGTATGTGTAAACAAGGAAAAGAAGTAAGGTCCCTCACTTTCATTCAGGTGCGCGAGAAACGACGCAAAAACACCCCCCAAAAAAACCCTTAACCAAGAAGAGGGCTTTATTCCATCCAAAACAAAACATTATCAACATCAACAGGTCCGAAGCTGAGTCGATGTCAAGTGCATCAGAATGAAATTACAGATTACAAATAAAAATGATAATTGATGGAGGAAAAATAATGTTATTAAAACAACCAACACCCGGATTGTAACAAAAACAGACGATGCCCGATTATTGTAATAATAATGTAAAAAATTACAAATGTATCCCCAAATTGTTTTTAGAAAATACTAGTGTAACTGCAGGGGGAAGCATTTTAGCATGGTGCTGTTTAAGAAGAAAAAAAATGGAATCGTTTGTTTATTTTAAGATTCTATCACTGGAACTGTTTTAACAAAATAAATATACGAAAGGAAGAATTCGTTTTTTTAGCGCCTTTTCTGGTTATTAAAAAAAACGAACACGTTATGAAAAATGAACATGATATATCTGTTTATTTTTGAAAGATATAAACAAAAATCTTGCGTATTTAAAATGAAACAACATGAACAAATAAACAATTTACACAATAACAAAATAACACAGCCAAAGACTCTACAAAAATGTGTGTTTTTTTTAAATTTATTTTAAACACATTTTTACAAGACAACGCCACCATAAAATATCGCTTTTAACCACGAAGATTTCGACAAAGCAAAACAGAACGTAATCAACTAAAAAAGGATAATACAGTTAACTTAAAATATAAACAACCAGGAGTCACATGGATTTAAAAAAGAAAAAAATATTATCAAATTCAGGTTAGTTACAGACTATTTTGAATTATATCTAATTTAATTCTAACAATAACTTGTCTACTTAAATCTCCAAACATTATTTTTTTATGTATGAGAAAAAATGAAATATTTTATTTGTTTTACTGATATTTAATCTTAATTTTAAAGCAGAAGCGAATGTGACAACTAGTTGTCGTTACTTGTGAAGACATTTAAAAAAATCGTTTTTTTTTTGTCGTTGTATTTAGTCTAGATGTCTACAAACGACGAAGCCCGGATGACATAAACGTACTACTACACATTACTTTATGAATGAATAAATTGTATGAATGGATGATACTGGTTGAGGTTTCGTTACAGACTTTCATTTAATAATCATTGACCAGGTATTAGACGATTCTCATTGTGTGTGTGCTATATTTGGAAGGATTTTGAAAAAATACACACGGATTCCAACGGATATATGTATTATTGAAATATTACGAAAAAAAATAATTTTAGATTTTGCTGTAAGATCTGAAGATGATTTTTAGAAAAGACCACAATTTCGATCTACAGAACAAAGAAAATAAATAAAGCCCTGTTGCAATATTGCAATCACCTAGTTTGTTAAAAACAAAATACTGTCGACAGAAACAATGTAATTTTTTATTTATTCAACGTTGTTGGGTGTGTTTACATAATCCATACAAACGACTGGTTTTAGTTTCTCTTCTCGGCGTCATAAACCAGATTTTCTCTCGTCGAGTGATAAAGATCTATTTTTTTGGACGTCATTTATTTTTTAAAAATTCACTGTTGTTTTTAGGTCAATTTTTTTTTTAAAGTTTAAAAAGAAAAGAAAAGAAAAAATATTATATCGTAGTTTGATTCGAATAAAAACAACAACAACAAAAACAGTACCAAAGTAAAAAAAAAAAAAAATGGAATCAGACGAAAAAAAACTCTTGACAAACGCTGGTTATAAACTGGTGTGCAGTAACCCTCGAGAAAAACTCTTTTTCCCCCAATCTTCCTACTTCGGGGACAGGTATCTCTGTGGTGGTATCAGCGGCAGGAGTAATAGTGTTTCTAAGGCATCTTCGGCAGGGCCTGACACTCGACGGAGTACTATTAATTCCTATATGATGGCCACCTTGAGTTACCGTTTCTATTCTTTACCGATGGACTTAATGAAACGGACTGAGTACCCTTCTACAGGGAGCCGGATTTCCGGTCAGCACAATCACCATTACCACCACCATCACGTCCACAACAACAACAACAACAACAACACAAACAGTCACCATCCAGAAAATGAACGGGTTGATCCCACGACAATTTCAAAAATTCCTAAAGATCACAAGGGTTACAAAAACGTCTTCGTTGTGGGTGTTGCCTTTATGTTTGTCTACACGGCTTTTGTATCTTTACAAAGCTTGCAAAGCACCCTGAACACTGATGACGGTGTGGGGGTAGTGTCCTTAAGTTGTATGTACTCTGCCACGGTTTTTTCCTGTTTGATTGCCCCCTGGGTTATCAATAAACTGAAGTGTAAATGGACAATGGTCGTGGCATTTGTCTTATTCTCGTGTTACTTTGCAGCAAATTTTTATCCAAAACATTTCATGCTCATCCCAGCTGGTATTATCCTGGGTCTGCTGACCGGACCCCTGTGGAGCGCACAAGCTACTTTAGTGACTACGCTGGGTATCACTTATGCCCAGCGCAACCAGAATTACGATGCCGACGCCGTGGTCAATAAATTCATGGGTATATTTTACGCATTTTATCAAGCCAGCCAAATTTGGGGTAACATCATCACAGCGGCTGTGCTATATAGTAACGACACGTTGAAGGCAACCCCGGACGCGGACATGTGGCTGACAACCGTTTCTACAGCCAATAGGTCATCATCTCTGCTGACCACTTATGCTACTTATTCTTTACACAACCCTTCTCCCCTTTCACCCTCGTCTCATTCTTCAATGTCGATGAGCTTTCCTCTGTTGCCGACTTGGAAAAAATGTGGCTCTAAATTTTGCGGCTTGCTTCTCGCGGATCCAGGGGCCGAGTACCGTGATTATAATCCGATTATTGAAGGAATTTCGGACGATTCCCGCCATATGCTACTTGGAGTTTACTTGATTTGTGGCATCATGGGGGCGATTATTATGATGGCTTTAATGGATAATGAAGGCCAGAACAAAGAAGAGGAGATATGTGGCTGTGTTTCTTCACGAGAACTGTGCCTGGCTACAATCAAGATGTTGGGAGACTATCGATGTCAGTTACTTATACCTCTGGTGCTTTTTCTTGGCTTGCAACAAGGGTTCCTATTCGGAGATTTCACCAAGGTAAGTCTTTACGTTCTAATTTATTGGTTTTCTTATTACAGGTCTCTGCTAATTAACACGGGACGTTCTTGCAACGTGGCAAATATGCTGTTTTTTTACTGATTGATTCGTTTTCTACGGCTTATCAATATTTTGCATGCCATTGAAAGCCAGAAAATATATTTTAGATTGTAAAACTTTTTTTTGGATTAATTCGTTTTCTACGGCTTATCAACACTTAGCATGCCATTTAAAGCCAGAAAATATATTTAAGTTTGTAAAACTTTTTTTGGATTAATTAATTCGTTTTCTACGGCTTTTCAACACTCTGCATGTAAAGCCAGAAAATATATTTTAGATTGTAAAACATTTTTTGGATTGATTAATTCGTTTTCTACGGCTTATCAACCAGGCTATTTAAAAACTTAAAATATATTTTAGAGTGTAAAAGTTGTTTCTTTTTCTAGATAATAATAGTTTAATGATACAAGTCTTATTATTAACCCATATATGGTGGAGAAGAGGTGGAGTCATATAATTCCCAAGGGTACAAGTGTTATTATTAACCCATATATGGTGGAGAAGAGGTGGAGTCATATCATTCCCAAGGGTACAAGTGTTATTATTAACCCATATATGGTGGAGAAGAGGTGGAGTCATATCATTACCAAGGGTACAAGTGTTATTATTAACCCATATATGGTGAAGAGGTGGAGTCATATCATTCCCAAGGGTACAAGTGTTATTATTAACCCATATATGGTGGAGAAGAGGTGGAGTCATATCATTCCCAAGGGTACAAGTGTTATTATTAACCCATATATGGTGGAGAAGAGGTGGAGTCATATCATTCCCAAGGGTATTTGCGCGTAAGTAAACATAACGAACCGAACGGTGATTTGAACTCGGCTCTCCGATTAACAATTCCGAGCCATTATCCATTATACCACACGTACATGCAAACTGACAGCACCTGTTAATCACAAGTGGTCACCTACGTAGTTACTGGCCAGGCTTGATGCTTAACTTCGGTGAGCTATGAGAAGCGGTGCTTCAACACAAAAAATTACTTTGGTTGTTGGGGGGTAGGTGTGACGTTTCGGCAACGTTACTGAAACTATTCTGACAGTTTCTTCTCTCGTACTTCTCGCCTGTGGAACTGTCTTCCGGCTTCTTTGCTTTCCTAAGATCTTCAAACATTTAAATTAAGTGTCATCGTGTGTCATTTTTTAAAAAAAATCCTGTTCTTTTGTTGTCCTCTCTCCTTAATAAAGTGTTATCTGTCTCTTCCACTCGTAGTACCCACCTTACATCTTAGTGGCTTCATCGCCTTGCTTGGGGGAAAATAACTGAAAAAACAAAACAAAAAAAACAAACAAACACACACACACACACACACCAAAAGAAAACAATTGTCCTAACCTCAAAACTGACCTCACATCCCCAAAGTTTTCATAAGTTTGAGAAGTGCAGCAGCTGAAAAATTGCTAACATCAAAAGTCTTTTTTCTGCACTTAAAATTTTTAGCACTCTGCATTATTCATGAGTATTAGTTCCCATTCTACTGCATACTTTGTTGAGTTACTTTAACTGCATTTAATCCTGGGTATGACGATAAACTACATCCGGCAGCTAGGCCTCTGATGGGGTGATTGAGATTTTGTGAAGCATAGAACCACCTCTTAAATGCTGTTGTTCCCACGTCCACCTTGACCAGCGGTGGTAGCACCTGTTAGGGTCCCAGCTATGGGCAAAACGTTAAACCCCAGACAAAAACAAGATACTATGAAAGTATAAAAATGAATTTTCATAGTAAAATACCAGCGATACATTTTTTTATATAAAAGACTTCTTTTTTAAGTCTTTGAACCCTGACCACCACTTTACCGGTGATAGAGAAAAATGACGTAATGCCTAGCCACCGGTTGAACGGTGGTAGAGAAAAATGACTTAATGCCCAGTCACCGGTTGAACGGTGGGTAAATACTTGTAACTATTTTTATATCTGCCGTGAAACATTACATACCAATTATTTGGGAATTTTGACTCAGGAGCCCAGGCAGATGGGTTCAAATTGTTCAGGAACGCAGAACTAAAAGGGTTAAAACAAAATGACATTTTATAGTAGAATTACTAACAATACATTTTATAGCAAAATACCAAGCAATACATTTTATCTGTAGTTGAAGGTTTACAATTGCGTTCAAAACATATTTAGTTGAAACCATAAAATTGTGTTCAAAATAATTAGATTTCGGCATTAAATAACACATAGAGATGTTATTATCTCACTAAACAAAATCAACCAAGAATTTAAGTGCAGTAGCTCTGTTGTTAATATTACTCAAGGTATTTTTGCTGATGCCATAGCAGGATTTGAAAACACAACCATGAAATTTAAACGCAGTATTCTCCAGTAATAAGAGTCACTTGCATTGGCAGGAACAAACCTTATGCTTGGTTAAAAAAAAGTTAAGTTCAGAGTGCTAAAGAATTTTAACAATATGTATATGTATATGCTTAAGTGTGTCTCACGCATAGTACATAACTAACTGCTATGTTTAACATTTCATTTTTTGATATATTTTTAAGTTGATAATCACTAATTCGAATGAAAAATAGCCGTTTTTACATCTTTCTGTTATTTATTATCAATTTTCTGTTAATGTAACATGACAAGACAATTTATTTGCAACGTTACAAAATAACGATGTGAGGAGTTTAAAAAAGAACGTTCTTGCAACCCTTACATAACGTCGCAGAAATATACGATATTTTTTGGTTATATTTCTGAAATGTGGTTTTGTAACTATTTACACTATTTGCACTGTTCGGACTGTTGTCCAGATCTTTATCGCCATATACCCGACATTTCGGTCGTTGTACGCTCCGGCCTTTTTCAGGATCTGTCTATTTCTGAGATGAGGTATGGGAACTATTTAAACAATTTTTGATTTGTCGATTTGTTGTCCCCATCTATATATTGCCATATACACGACGTTTCGGTCATTGTACGCTCCGGCTTTCTTCAGGATCTGTCTATTTTTTAGATGAGGTATTGAAACTATTTGCATTGTTCGGACAGTTGTCCCCATCTATATTGTCATATACACGACGTTTCGGTCGTTGTACGCTCCGGCCTTCTTCAGGATCTGTCTATTTTCTGAGATGAGGTATTGGGACTATTTACACTATTTGCATTGTTCGGACTGTTGCACTCATCTTTATTGTCATATTCGCAACGTTTCGGAAGTTGTACGCTCCTTCAAGTAATATACGTGGCCCAGTGGATAAAAGCGTTGGTTGATGTAATCCGGTCACTTGACCAAAAAAGTTCAATCCCTGGCCACAGCAGAGGTAAAAAAACAAAAACAAACTTTGTGAGTTGAATTACTAAAGGGAATTCACTGAAACTGAGATATCCAGAAAAGGCATGGCACGTGGAACTAGAACACTCTACCCCAGTGGACTAAATAAAAGGTTCGTTTCGAGATTCCAACGTATATCACCTGAAGAAAGCCGTAGCGCATAACGGCTGAAACGTCGTGAATATAACAAAAAAGATGATTACAACAGTTCGAACAAAATGTAAATCGTGTAAATAGTTCCAATACCTCATCTAAATAATGGACAGATCCTGAAGAAGGCCGGGGCGTACAACGACCGAAACGTCGTCTATATGGCAATATAGATGGGGACACCAGTCCGAACAATGTAAATCGTGTCAATATACGAAATTTTGTTAATTGGGTGTTGATAGATTAAAACGTTATTCTTATTAGTCCATTAACTTCCAGTACCAATGAATGATATATATATATATATATATATATATATATATATATATATATATATATATATATATATATATATATACTCTTGGCACATCTATTGTATCTCAGTGACTTTCCACTTAGAAGTAAGTTTCTATTGAGTAGTATGCTTATAACTTCTTCCATGGTTTCTGCTATCATCTCTATCGCAGGGTTTTCTTTCTGATAACCAATGTGGATTTCGCTTCTGTAGGTCAACTGTTGATGTATTAACGACTAGCAGTAGAGCCCGGCGTTGCCCGGGGATGTAATAGTAAGAGATAGATCAAGTATCGACCATCATAAAGACTGAAAAATAAAATTGACAAAGATTATTGTTTAAGGTTGACGGACACGCATGTCTTAATTAGTTTTTTTTGTTTGTTTGTTTTGTTTTGTTTTGTTTTTTGTTTTTTTTTACGAATTGGTCAAACCCAAACTCAAACAAAAACATTGTTTTCAATCGTTATGAGTCTACCGATTGAATAGAATTTTATTATAAACAATTGCCTTGTTAACGGAATTTTTAAAGCATTCTGAATGTAAAAATAAAGAAAAAAGTGATCAAGACAATAATAAACACTACCTGCCAAAAAAAGTGAAGTTTTGTTGAAATTGGTTGAAAAATGTAGGAAATCCGATCCCATATATAAACGAACACACAAACACACGCACACACACGCACACACACACACACACACACACACACACACACACACACACACACAACCTGGGTTTTATAATAGGTACAACTCGATATGAGTTGTCCTCCTTTCATTCTCGCGATGCCTCTTAATCGTGTTTTCAAATTGATTTTGTGCAAAAACAATTGTGTTTTTCTAATTTTGGGCGTTGTCAGAACCACCGCAAGGTAATTTTACGTAGTCCTGTGAAGTTTTGTTGAAATCGGTTGAAAAATGTAGGAAATCCGATCCAATATATAAACGTACAGACACACACGCACACACACAACCTGGGTTTTATAATAAGTATGATTATCGCTGAAAGAGTCTATCAATCTATAGACAAGAATAATAACCTTTGGACATCTCGAAGCCATTTGACAGGGTTTGGATTCCTGGTCTTCTTCACATGATGAATGGTATTTCTGGAAGAATTTTTGAACAGATTCAGTCTTTCTTATCAAATCGAAAAACGAAAGTACTCTTGAACGACCACTAGATCTTTTTGCATTAATGTAGCTGTCCC